TAATTGTTATTAGTTGTGAGTTTATTTAATTGTTATTTAATTGGATTTTGTTTTGCTTTAATTGATTAACTGATTTACTTGTACTTGAGAATTAATTGTGTTCAGTGTAGTTAATTATTTTATTGAATTTATTTAATTGAATTTAGTTAATTATTTAATTGAATTTGATTTTTCCTTCTTAACGTGGTTGTATATAGGGTTGCACACATATGGTTAGAAATTAGGTTTACAATTCTTATATGTAGCCGACAATTATATATCATAGGTTAGTTTATGGGCCGGGTAAGTCAGTTAGGGTTTAATGGAACCTAAGATTAGTGGCCTATAAATACACGGGTAAAATTCTGTCTAGGGTTTTAGAACCCTGTTCATGGTGGTGGAGGTAGAGAGAGAAACCAAAGGAGCAAACAGATAGTCACCGGAGAGTTGATAACGACGTCGGAGTAAGGCAAGTTCTAATCCTAAATCTATTCCTTAGGCTTGTGTTCTTTACATCTCTAACACAATTCCAGGAAATCTATAAAGATTAAAAATGGATTTGTTTGCATGTCTCTGTTGTTTTGTTTAAACTGAACGTAGCATAGGTTGCACTGCTTGTTTATAATCTTTTGTGTGTAACTCGTAAATTAATTCACATAACTAGATGTTTAATTCATGTAAACTGATATATCAAGAGTGAAATTAGTTTTTAACACTCAGAGAAGCATTAACATTACACCAGTTCACATAGTTGAGCTTTTTCAGAACAGTGTGTGTTCTTGAAGGGAAAATTGCTCGTTCTAACTTCTTGTTGCATAAATCTTGTTCCGATTGTTGTCAAGGAATGACTAAGGCCTTAAACTATTTCTGGATCACACTGGGATATAATTGTAACCAGTAGTAGCCTTAGAATTTAAGACGAATGCACCAAACGTTGCCGGAAAAGACACAATTGGAGAAGATGAGCAGATTGGGAGCAGAGGGCCAAAGAGACGGCTCCCCATAAGGGGGAGCCGGCTCCATCAATGGTGGAGCTGGCTCCACTCAAAGGGGAGGCGGCTCCCCTTGTGGGGAGACATCTCCTTCTTCCTCCGTTGTGTTTTTGACCCACTGTGTTGATTTTGGACTGATTTCTGATGTTACGGGTATGTTTAGGAGCTGTAACTGGGAGTTTTGGTTGGGATCTAGGATCAAATTAAGTAATCAGAGGGCTTGATAATGCATGATAAATCAAGTATGTTTGCTGATAAAACAGTATATGATATTTAAGTAACTTGGCAGACTGTTTGTGGACTGAGGGCTTAAATTGCACAACCTTATACATAGCAATTTGTCTGGGAATGGAGTTATGGGTTGTTCGTGTTTCTGTAGTAAATTATAAGCATGTTAGATTACAAGATAATTGTATGCTTATAATGGATAAATAATGAAAACATACATTAGTTGTGTTATCAGTTCCTGAATAATTGTGTAGTAATATAAGGTGAGCATGTAAATCTGTATACTCTGTTATGCTTACTTGGATTTAATTAAAAGTTGCATATATGATGTGTATTTATCAATCATGGAATTGTGTGAAGCAGTGTTAAACAGGCTTGTTAAATAACAAAGTGATAACATGTTTAATGTAAAGTAGTTGATGGTTACAATTAAATGATTGACTGTCGATTGTTGGATTTGTTATATAGTTGATAATTACACTTATAAATTGTTTTATCAACTGCTGGTTATTGGATTACATGCACCGGTATGGGACGGTGACATATCTAGGTTTGGATTAGTTTCAAAATACTACATCCTACCTACACGGAATAAAGGAATGGATTTCAAAATAAATCCTACTTATGTTAAGTCAAAGAAGCTGCACAAGCTGAATGACTAACTGGATTACTTGTTTTATATGTTAAGTCAAAGAAGCTGCACAAGCTGAATGACTAACTGGATTACTTGTTATATATGTTAAGGCAAAGAAGCTGCACAAGCTGAATGACTAACTGGATTCTTGATGGATAGTTAGGATCGGACTTTAAATATATTTTTATGGTACCGCGATATGAGCTTGAGTCTCAGAGTCGTCGGTTAGGGAACGTATATGCAATAGGATGCGTAGCTGGATATGAGAGGTTGAGGTGTACCCTGTTAGGTTTAGGCACTCATGCCCATCTATGGGTGCGTTTTCGCATGTTGCCTTCTATTCAGGTTGAGACCTCTCCATAGTCCAGTGAGAGTCCTGTAGTGTGAATATGCATATGTACGGACTATTAGCTATTGTTGAGTTGGTTAGAATGTATATGCGTATCGAGTCTCTGCTTGGATAATAGTAGGATAGAACTTGTTTGTGGGCCTGACCCACTTCTATTTTTCAGGTGTTTGACCGTTCCAATCGTAGGCTTGATCGTGCTGAGCAGAGACCATCACTCACTCTTCCGACGACGTAGGACTTCTCTCCATGGTTTACTATGGATGTTCTTTTAGTAGTTTTCTTTTCAGTTTGGATTATTATTAGAGGTCCACTAGAGATGGATTCCCAAGTTGTATTCATGGAGGTTTCGGAAGTTGGATTTATTTAATTTATATCAGTTGAGGATTTTATATTAGTATTCATTTCAGCTTTATTATTTTTCCTTCTTAAATCTATTTTGTAATCTGTGTTCGTTTTAAAATATTAATTGTTAGATATTCCCTCGGGTTTGGGCCTGGGCCTGATCAACCCATGTCTCGAATCCGAGGGGTATCACACCGCATATTCAATTTGGACCTTAAAAAAGCTTTCCAGTAGCCTACTTTCAGTGTTTTGTACAACTACTATTCATTCATTGGGCAGAATTTTCACCTGAACTTGGAACAGTCATATCTCCCTCATTCCAGATCCAAATTAGGTCATTATTAAGTCTAAATTCAAGAATTTTGAGTTATATTTCCAATGGTATCAATCCCATTTTCATATTCCATCTCTATTAAGAGATGTTCTCATTTTAGTAGGACAGCGACGAGAAATCACTTGACCAGGAGGGGTATTTTTGGGAAACTAGACTAAAGGTCTTGGAATATTACGAAATAATTAGAATCGATTAAGTGCATCCCATTTGACTTATTTAGAGTAAAAAAATCTCCTCATTGGGTAAAATGGGTCATTTTACCCCTAGTTCCATATTTTGTCCATTTTGACCTTAGTTTCCGCATTTGCTTTCGAGTTGAGTCTTATGACTTCTTTTGAGGTAATCTTGTTGTCCCATAGGTGGTGTTTAACCCTAGCGACATTTTCTATTATTTTCACTTCTGCATTTTGGACTCAATATTGGGTTTGGGTTTCGGATTACTCGTTAATGCTCCGGGTTATGAAAATTCGGGCCATTACACCCATTGACAAAAGGTCTCTCACCTAAACTCTTTAAGGATCAGGTTGCGGGCATGGGCTTGGTGGAAAATCTATTATGGTTGGGTTAAAAGTGTATTGATGTTTTTGTTGTGATCACATTATGTTATGACAATATGATGATTATGTTGTGCTATTTTCAACTTTCGTGCATATTTAAATATAAAAAGCAATATTAGACCGTTAACAATGAATTAGCACTAATCACCATTATTTTGCTAATGTCATCCAATTCATGATTATTTTGCTAATGTCATCAGTATAAGTTAAATCTCACCAATTCATGTTGATGAATATATTAATGATATAACTACTAAATGGTATTGAATCGATGCGTGATTCAATAACTGCAATAGTTTGGCATTAGTAGTTTCATTGAACAGAATCTAATAAAGATGGTGCAACCCACCCTTCTTTGGAAAAGTTTGATAACAATATTATGTGAATAATCTAGTAAATGGTACAATTATGAAGGCCAAGTGAGAGATTGTTAGAAATTTATCTCTTTAATGTGGCCTTTACATTATTATACATATGATATACTAGATATTTCCATGAGGAGGGTTTTAAGAAATTATTTGGAAGGTGATCTGATATTAAGTACACCTAGTGTATGAAAAACCAAATGTGTAAGGATTGATACACTTATAACACAATTTGAGTTACATACTCTTTAATAAACTAAGTGATACTTCACTAATGGAATTGGAATTGCTGATCATTTAAGGAAGAGTTAAGTGATTCTTTGGTAACTCTTGAAGTTAGTGTTCACTTAACAATTTATGAAGAGTTGGAGTTAATGAAAAGTTAAAAGTCTCTTCTAACTCTTAATTTTCTTACGAAAATTTAAGTCTTTGATGGGAAGATTGAGACTAATTTTATATATAAAGGTCCCAAAAAATACTCTCTCATTACGTGAATGTGAAATGAAACACCACATTTAGTACCCATTAACTATAGAGAAAGAAGTGGTTAAAAGATCTTATATTTCTTACACAACATTCAGAATAGACGGAACATATCTTTTGGCTCAACTTGAAATTGAGTTAGCATCAATAACTAAGGTTCAAATTCTCTTACTCATAATGGATCAAGGTAAGATATACATTACTTCTATATTTTATAATTAATGGTGTTTTTGTGCATCAAAGTTGAATCTTAATGGGCTAATTATTGTTAAAGTATATTTTAATGTTTCTAACAAATGGTATAAGAGCCAACGTTCTCAATTTTGAAGCATGAAACTTATATAAATTTCTTGAGTATCTCTATAAATTATTGTGATGGTTAATTATGTAGCCCAATTAATGTTCAATATTGATGACTATTTATTACAAAATTGTTAGAGCAACTCTAATGCTCTTTCATTTTGGGCTCTCAAACTCATAATTTGAGAGATGGGTAAAAAGTGGGCTCTCCAATGAGCTTTCATTTGGGCTCTCAAAATTTGAAAATCTCAAATCTGCTCTCAAATATAGGAGCTACCAATTTTTTTTGGCAAGTTTCTTTAATTGCCCTACGACGCCGTTTCTTCCTATTTCCCTCAATCCCCTTCGTTGCTTTCTCTGTCCCTTCCATTGCTATCTCTATTATTTCTCTCTCCCTCTTATCTGCAACGAACTGGATTATCGACGGCGACCGATGCTTAAAGGCGACGAACACCGACCGGTTGTGGCTTCTGCCATCGTCGGATTCTGAACTTCTGCGGCGGATTTGACGATCTAGGCCCACTGGAGGACTCCAAGGTGCTGCTCAAGCTGTTTGTGGTGGGTCTCAAATGAAATTGATGAAATCCATCATCGTCCTGAAGATGATTACCGTTATTAGGGTTTGTGTTGGGTGTATTAGGGATTGAAAAAGGTAGTAATGGAAAATTGGTCTTTGCCTCGGGGCCGCGGAGAGACCTAGCGGCGGCGGCGTAGACGCGTGCAGCAGCGTCCTTAAAGTTGAAAGTGCAGCCAGACTCGGATCTTCTTCCAGGGGTCTCTGATCTCGATGACGAATTGCCCCACAGCTGCTTTTGCATGCCTCGGTACTTGGGCTCTTCATCGGGGTTTCTAGGTGGTCCGATCGTGGCTCCCTCCGCCGCCGCTGCAACCTTTGTCATCGCTGTGGTTTTGGATCATAGCATGAGCTCCGGTGAAGAGATGATGATCAAAAATCGACCAGAGATCGGATGAATATGATGAAATCTTGTTTTTACAATATGGTTATCATCTCTTCGATTGAATTGTTAATCTTCTTTCTTTCTCTCTCATCTCTCTTTCATCAATCTGTTTGTTTCTTGGAGAATGGAGTTTGTTTCATCTGTCTAGCTCTATCTATATTTGCAATGGAAAAAGAATGGTAGTTGAAAATGAAAGTTGGGAATAGTAATATAAAAAAAAAAAAAAAAATGGTGATTGTGTCAAAAAGTAGCAATGCATTATTGGAGTAGAATTGCTAAAATATAACATTTTGACATTGTAGCACCTCTCAAAATACAGATTTGGCATGCAAAAATAACATTTTGCATTGGAAATGATCATAGAGAATAGAATTGAAGTTAATACCCATCATTTTGTTGCACTATTAAAGGGCGGATGTAGGGAGAGCCCCCACAATTTTTATTTTTTTTTATTATTATAGATAAATTTAGCATAGCCTAAAAAAATAATAATAATTAATAAATAAATAAATAAAATTATTATTATTAGTATTAGCCCAAATCCAAAACATTTTTTTTTTGTTATTAACATACCTAGAATTCCATTTTATAGGATTCTTGGTGTACGAGAAGATGCGGGAAAAAAAAAAGGGGAAGGGCATACATAAACATCCAATATTATCCAAAAGAATAACTAAATAAACATAATGATTAAAGTTAAAGAGACGAATCAAAAGTATGGATTGTCACTAAATCAACATAAATGTGTAAAGCATTGGTACCCCTCCTCATCCTCAAGCATTAAGCATTTCACGCGATTCATCATCATCATCTTTTACATTAATCCCATATGAAAGGAGTTGATCACATGAATTTTCTAATTTCAAACTCTATTACAAGCCATTTTAATATACTGTCTTTAACTTTTTTAAATCGTTTTCAACAGCCTCAACCGATGTCATTTTTGCTCGCCCTCTTAGTATCTTACATTCTACTACCACCAGTCCTCCTCATTTGACCAGCACATTTCTAGGTCTCCGATGTATGTATCCAAACCATCTAAAACCACTCTCTCAGATTTTCTCACTAATGGATGCTACACCTATTTTTTCTCACTAATGGATGCTACACCTATTTTTTCTCACTTTCATTAATGACCCTATATCTTCTAGTCACTCCACTCATTCATCTTAACATTCTCATTTCCAGTACATGAAGACCCTACTCCTGTTTCATTTTTAGGGCCCAACACTCCACTCGCTCCTATAGAATTTTCCTTTTAACCTATGTTTAATTTTATCAAATTAAGAAGAAAAAAGTATATAAAGGCCAAACTTACTCTAGGTAGATGAAAAGATCACATACTCCGAATCAAAATCGGGTTAAGGTTACATTCACTATAATAATGTAAAACCATTTCTCTGGACTACTTGAAATACTAGGAATAATTTTACCACTTCTACTAGGGATGGCCTTTTTATCCAACTGCTTCAGCCAATATTGTGCCACAACTGAAAATCATACTCCTTTTTTGTTTTATTTCAAGTCAATCATCTAAATCCCAAAGAACAGGGCATAAGAGAGTTATGACATAGCAGTCCCTACCAGATAAAAATACAATGCAATAAAGACATGGCCACACAACAATTGCTTGTATGGAGACAACAAGGACAATGGCATTCTGTATATATATAAATTGGATTTAGGGGATATTTTTTAAAAATAATAATATATTTGCAATTATACAAATTTAAAATGATAATTGTTCATATATGAGGGCAAAATGCAAACAACCCCCCCCCCCACCAAAAATAATAATAATAATAATAATAATAATAATAATAATAATAAAACCAGCATTGTATAAAGTTGCAAATGGACCAAAGCTTTAAATGCCCAGTAGGAGCTACGTGGATTTACTAATATACCACAACAAAACGATGTCAATTTATTATTTTTGAAAACATTTGATCCATTCAATAAAACTGTACCAAGATGGCCCGTTTATAGTCTACTCTTTCTGTATGTTAATTACTTCATTTATACATATACACATACATTCACTCCCAACTGATGGAGAAGCAGGATTTACCGGCCATATTATACCTTATTCCTTTTCCTCTTGCCATTCTATTCTCCAAGGCCACCAAAGGTCAATCCTTAAGTAAATTTGACCCACAAGAAGTCACTCACAACGAAAAATCAGATTAATGAACTTTAAAATATTACTTTGCCTAAATACTTCTAAAGTTCCCCAAGCTCCGTGCTAATCCTTCATATTTTACAATCCAACCTTATGTGGGAAAAAAAGTGGTCAAATGTGCTTAGACATTGACCTAAATCCCCTCATTTTCAGCTAAAAAAAGTCATTATCTTCATATACATGAGTAATTCTACTTACTCAAATCTTCACTTTACATAAGGTTAGTGAACTCGTGAATAAAATATTCTTCATTAGATAACACTTACCATACTTATCAAAAATAATTAATAACTTTGCCCTCGTCATTGCAAGCAAAAAACGTAACCCGTTCATTATGCTCCAACTTAAGTTGGTGTTTATAGAGGAGTTGATGTCAATCCAAAACATAAAGGTGCATAGGATAGGTATAATTGTGAAGATAGTAGGGTAATTGCAAAATTTTGAGTAATTCCAAGTTTTTGGTGAAAAAAGGTGGTTGTTTGCAAAATAACTAATAGTTGGGGGGCAGTTCTATTATTTTTCTCTATATACTAATATTAATGTTCTTTTATGGAAAACATGCTAAGAGTTGTGGTACATGGACATAAACTTTCAACTAATTATGCATACAATATTCATCTTATTAGAGAGTTCGAAGCATTTATAACCCTTTTATTACTTACAATAAAACAAAGTAACAGTTATGTTACATTCACATAAGCTTTGGACTACATTAGACATGCTATTCTCATTTTATTGTAGTTTTTTTTTCTTTTTTGAAGAAGTTTTTAAGTGATTGGAACCCTTGTAATGCTTTTTCTAAAATCCATACAATCATACTATTAGATAGGTACACACACAAATAAAATCTAACTAATAAATTAATTAATTTTACCTCATTAGTCTTGGTCACGTAGATTGGTTGGTGGTTTCCCTCGAACACATTAGCACGAAAAATTTCAGGCTAACCATCAGCATCATCCTTATCCTTGGCCACAAAAGCAAGGCACAAGATGAAATGAGAAATACCCATCACTTTTGCATGCACAGTTTTCACAAACTTGTAATTTGTCCCCTAATAACAAAGAAATTTTCTAATATGAAAAGAAGGGTAACGTGAATGTTAGATAAAAATAAATAATAAAAAAATAAAGAAATAAAAAAACTTAAATACATTCTTCTTATTGTAGTGCCGAATTGCTGAACGTGAGTAGCCAATGACCGACTCTAAATTGATATGGGGGGTGTGGAGGGAAAAAAACTCCCTCCAATAAAAAGCGCATACGTCACCACTACACATATCTACATTCCAAGGACATATAAGGCCCATCAGGCTCAAGCCCAAATTGAGGGTATTTACAGCCCAAGACCATTGTTATTTGTCCTCCAACCTCCATCAAGGCCGAATCAAGAGGTCATCAGCCCAACTTGTTAATATTTAACATCCGGTCCGTTACTCAAGCCTAGCCGGATCAAAATATGTTCAGCCCAGTTATTCAAGAATGCACAAGTCCTACCAGTTGAAGGATTTGCTGTAGAAGGAAAATTCTGAGATTGGAAGTTCTGTACAAGGCAAGTTCTATGTATGAAAAATTAGACAATGGAAAGAACTCTATTAGTAAAGAATGTTTATATAGAAAGAATTGGAGGGCAAGCAACGCGAGTCCTACCATAATTTTACAATCTTTTGTATATAAATAGAGGCTAAGACCTCCAATAAAGGGATCAAGCAATTCTACGCTTCTCTATACACTGTTCTTATTTATTCTTATTGTTTTTGAGTGTGTTGTTCTATTTTTCTCAATCATTATTGGTTAAGCAAAATTTTGCACCTACACTTTGGCGCCGTCTGTGGGAATCGTATAAAAATATACGCCCACTTATTCTTCAAATCAAATCCTTAGTCGTATCTGGAATGTCAAACGGAGAGTCAGCAATGAATCAACAGATAAAATTGATGCAAAAGATGCGAGAGGAGTTCTTGCACCAATTTGAGACACTCCGGCAAGCAAACGATACGAGTGCCGCCCAGATAGCTGCGCTTCAGCAGCAGACTCATACGATGCACACGGCAATGGCCAGGCTAATGCCACAACCACCACCAGGCGATGCTGCAGCACCACCCCCCACCCAGAATTTACCTCCAGTTCACGAGCCTCCGGCCAACGGGACACCACCGAACGGGGCTCGACCTAATGAGGTTCAGCAAAAGCAAGGGACGAGGTCCGAGGCGGTTGCTTCGGATAATCTCCCGTGCCGCACACAGGACGAACAGGCCGAGTCCAGCCATAGGCTTACGGTATGGTCCAATGGCGTTCCAGATGGCGCACACGTACAAGATGCCTTCGACGAAAAGAAGCTATTAAGAGTTCAGACACCAGCCGAGATGGCTAGAGAGCACAAGAACTCCTTGGTCAAGACCCCTTTTACTGACGATGTGTACCTTGTGGAGAGACCAAAGAAGTTCACTATGCCATCCTTCACCCAGTTCGATGGGGCAGGAGACCCCTCTCGGCATCTCGATCATTATGCGTAAAAGATGGCACTGGACGATCATAACGATCTGTGGATGTGTAAGGTTTTTCCTACCAGTTTAACCGGAGCAGCGTTAGAATGGTTCAGGAATAGGCCACACAAGTCTATCCCTGATTATGAGACCTTGTGCACTATGTTCTTAGCCCAGTATTGCGGAAATAAGAAGCAGAAGAAAAGTATCGCCAGCCTTTTCACCATAAGGCAAAGGAAGGGAGAAACTCTGCAAGATTTCTTATCCAGGTTT